CCCATAGAAAATCCCAACATTCTAACTTTACAAACACCAAAGTTATGGCATTTCCGATCAATCAGTTATATGGAAGCTACAGGATATAGTCGGCCGATCCTTATGAAATTCGGCATGTCGGATTGATTAGCCAAATATAACACCCATAGAAAATGCCAACTTCCTAACTTTACAAACACCAAAGTTATGGCATTTCCGATCAATCAGTTATATGGCAGCTATAGGATATAGTCGGCCGATCCTTATGAAATTCGGCATGTCGGATTGATTAGCCAAATATAAAACCCATAGAAAATCCCAACATTCTAACTTTACAAACACCAAAGTTATGGCATTTCCGATCAATCAGTTATATGGAAGCTATAGGATATAGTCGGCCGATCCTTATGAAATTCGGCATGTCGGATTGATTAGCCAAATACAAAACCCATAGAAAATCCCAACTTCCTAACTTTACAAACACCAAAGTTATGGCATTTCCGATCATTCAGTTATATGGCAGCTATAGGATATAGTCGGCCGATCCCGGCCGTTCCGACTTATATACTGCGTGCAAAGGAAAGAAGGGTGTGTGCAAAGTTTCAATTCGATATCTTTAAAACTGAGAGACTAGTTCGCGTAGAAACAGACAGACGGACAGACAGACGGACAGACGGACAGACGGACATGGCTATATCAACTCAGGAGGTGATCCTGATCAAGAATATATATACTTTATATGGTCGGAGATGTCTCCTTCACTGCGTTGCACACTTTTGACCAAAATTATAATACCCTCTGCAAGGGTATAATAGGTTTAAAGGTAAATCTGAAAAGATCCTGACGAAATTTGGTATGTCGGATGATTGGCCAAATAAAAAACCCATACAAAATCCCAATTTCCTAACTTTAAAAACACCAATGTTATGACATTTCCGATTGTTCCGTTATATGGCAGCTATAGGATATAGTCGGCCGATCTTTTTGAAATTTGGTAGGTCGGATTGATTGGCCAAAAATAAAACCCATAGAAAATCCCAACTTCCTAATATTACAAACACCAAAGTTATGGCATTTACGATCGTTCAGTTATATGGTAGCTATAGGATATAGTCTGCCGATCCTTATGAAATTTGGTAGGTCGGATTGATTGGCCAAAAATAAAACCCATAGAAAATCCCAACTTCCTAATATTACAAACACCAAAGTTATGGCATTTCCGATCGTTCAGTTATATGGCAGCTATAGGATATAGTCGGCCGATCCTTATAAAATTTGCTAGGTCGAATTGATTGGCCAAAAATAAAACCCATAGAAAATCTCAACTCCCTAACTTTACAAGCACTTAAGTTATGGCATTTCCTATCAATCAGTTGTATGGCAGCTATAGGATATAGTCGGCCGATCCCGGCCGTTCCGACTTATATACTGCGTGCAAAGGAAAGAAGGGTGTGTGCAAAGTTTCAATTCGATATCTTTAAAACTGAGAGACTAGTTCGCGTAGAAACAGACAGACGGACAGACAGACGGACAGACGGACAGACGGACAGACGGACAGACGGACATGCTTATATCAACTCAGGAGGCGATCCTGATCAAGAATATATATACTTTATATGGTCGGAGATGTCTCCTTCACTGCGTTGCACACTTTTGACCAAAATTATAATACCCTCTGCAAGGGTATAAAAAGATGGATCACCGACAGATTCAAAATAATATTTAATAAATCTATTTCTATATTAATGCCAATAAGGAAAAGTTCGAGGGGGTTGAATTTTATTGATTGATTTTATTGATGATGATAGCTATGATAGCCATATTCTATGACATATTCTATGACTAAGTACAAATTTTCTTATATGTACCAGAAGCTCAATAACAATTCTAAATTAGGTTTAAAGGTAAATCTGAAAAGATCCTGACGAAATTTGGTATGTCGGATGATTGGCCAAATAAAAAACCCATACAAAATCCCAATTTCCTAACTTTAAAAAACACCAATGTTATGACATTTCCGATTGTTCCGTTATATGGCAGCTATAGGATATAGTCGGCCGATCTTTTTGAAATTTGGTAGGTCGGATTGATTGGCCAAAAATAAAACCCATAGAAAATCCCAACTTCCTAATATTACAAACACCAAAGTTATGGCATTTACGATCGTTCAGTTATATGGTAGCTATAGGATATAGTCTGCCGATCCTTATGAAATTTGGTAGGTCGGATTGATTGGCCAAAAATAAAACCCATAGAAAATCCCAACTTCCTAATATTACAAACACCAAAGTTATGGCATTTCCGATCGTTCAGTTATATGGCAGCTATAGGATATAGTCGGCCGATCCTTATAAAATTTGCTAGGTCGAATTGATTGGCCAAAAATAAAACCCATAGAAAATCTCAACTCCCTAACTTTACAAGCACTTAAGTTATGGCATTTCCTATCAATCAGTTGTATGGCAGCTATAGGATATAGTCGGCCGATCCCGGCCGTTCCGACTTATATACTGCGTGCAAAGGAAAGAAGGGTGTGTGCAAAGTTTCAATTCGATATCTTTAAAACTGAGAGACTAGTTCGCGTAGAAACAGACAGACGGACAGACAGACGGACAGACGGACAGACGGACAGACGGACAGACGGACAGACGGACATGCTTATATCAACTCAGGAGGCGATCCTGATCAAGAATATATATACTTTATATGGTCGGAGATGTCTCCTTCACTGCGTTGCACACTTTTGACCAAAATTATAATACCCTCTGCAAGGGTATAAAAATTAAATAATAATAGGCACTAATAACTTTTTAGAATAATGGTTTCTTTTCACAAAATAAACAAGCAAAGTCAACACTACGGATAAGTAATAAATTTTTTGTTTTATAATAATGTGTTTTTTATGTGTGGGAAATCGTTTTTTGAAATTTAATTATATCTTTTACCCTTTTTGATTCGTCCTCCTCGGGGCTATACTGTGGCTGGGCAGCAGCACGTTTGCGTGTGGCTTCTACGGCCGCCAGTCCCAGATTGATTGGCCACTCGCTTATTGTCAGTGGAGCCGGCTTATCGCACCTGTGCAATTTGTTTGCGCGGCTGCTGCCGGTGGTGCCGATTCCCGCTGTTAGAGTGGACCTCAACAAGTAGAGTTATGCCAGGAAGCGAGGAGGCTGGACGACGGAGGACTCGCACGCACGCAACGCGGCTTAATGACCCCGCGAGACTTAATTAAGGCCCAAACTAAAGCACTTTGATTGATTTACGCCTGCAAACCGCCTCGAGACGGGGACAGTGAGATGGAGAGTGCCACAATTAAGAGTGCTGAGGGGCTGGTCGATGGATCCGGCTGCTTGCATAATTACCCCATAAGACTCAATTAACTGTAAATTAAAGAAAATGCTCGCTAACATTATGGCTGCACTTAATGTCGCGTGTGATAATCGTGCAGATCTTCTCTGGCACTCAACGCGACACTGCAAAGCGAGACTTGGTGGAAAGCCGAAGCGGGGGATACCCAAACCAATAGGTGACACTTTATAAAAGTTACTTAATTCTATGTTTTTTTTTAAGGAAAGGAAGCTAACTTCCGCAGGTCGAAGGTTATATACCCTTGCCGAAAAGTTTCTTACAGGTAGCATCAAAACTGAGAGACCAGTTTGGGAACGGACAGACGGACAGTTGATGTTGATTATGAATATATAGGGTCGGAAATGAACTTACTAACTTACTACTTCTACTTTAATTTTTATAGCTTAGATGAGTATAGGTCCAAGTTAAGAATTGTTAACTACTTAAAACAATTAATTGCTGTAATTATAGTGTACAACTTAAGTGAGGTATCCAATACAGAGAACATTGGTAATTTAGTGTAAACTGTTGAGCATATGTAAATTAAATTGTGACTGTGAGGGACACTATTTCGCTAATTGGTTTATAAAATCATATACCCAGTGATAGGGTATAATAAGATCATCGCAGAGTAAAAGCATTTTTTGTTGCTTCCTTTTCTGCTTTTGTTTTTGCTGCCACTGTCTCTCCTTCGCGCACACACATGGAATTAGAGTGGGTAAAAATGTACGAGGAGATAAAAGAGAGGCGAATTAAGTAACAAGGCACTTAACGTTAACACTTAACAAGGCAATGTCGTGGCTGTCTGAGACCTAGGGTATGCAATGCACCGTGCTCGGGGAAGTTGGCCATAAAACGGAGCCAAAACGTGGAGTTGGAACTTCAGCACCGAGTCGAGAAGCTGGCCACGAAATGCCATTAAGTGTCATTGCTCATTCCTGCGAAAGAAAATGATATCGGGCCTTAAATATGCGTACTCCGACAACGGGAAGATGGGCAGATGGGTAGATGGGTAGATGGGTAGATGGGATGGAACATACACACTGTCACGGGGTCGCAATGAGTGTGAGTGACTGCGGTTCCCTGAGCACCTCTGCCAAACTTCCCATAAAAGCAGCAGGCGAAAGATATTCCGAACGGAAGCTGCAGTTCTGTAATTACCGACTTTCCGAAGAATGAATTTACTCTCAACATTCTCGCGGTGAATTACTTTCTTCTCTGAGTTCTCAGCAGTATGTCAGTTTATGCATAGAAACAGCAGGGATAGATAAATAACACCTTAAGGAGATAAAAAAATATAAAAAAATATCGAGTGATGAGGGTTTAAAACCGACATAAACAAATAGTTATCAGGTTTAATAACTTTAGGAAACTATAAGCGAAAAGTAAATTGATTTTTATTTTCTAAGAACAATAATTTTGTATTCCCATATAAAAACAGTATCCTTAAAATCCAACAATTATTCACAAATATAATATATGGGTCTCAAAAGAATATTTCAACATAAGATTTTCATTTTGTTGGTATGGCATTTCTACAACCACAGGAAGATGGAAAATCACTACACTTAAGAATGTAGAATCTATAAAAAAAAAACACCTGCCTACAAGTTCGGCCAAAACTTTGATTGATCGCAGCTTTACAAACCGCAGAGTTCGTGTCCGATACATACCAGAAAGTGATCGTCAGGTGGGGCCGCAATTGTTGGCCCACAATGAACTCCAAGCTGGCTGCGAGTGTCAGCCAAAGGCAGTTTGCGGTTAAAGCGGCTTATCACATTAGCACACTTCCAGACTTCCAGGCCTTCCAGACCGGGGACAGAAAGACCCGAACCGGGTTAAAAGCGCCGCTGGAGAACCGTTAGCGATCGCGACATTCGCATCCTGCTTGGGATGGGATCCTTCGCACACACGCACAGAATCGAACAGAAGATATACAGATACACTAGACGCAGATACTGCACAGATACGAGTACCGGCCGGCTGCACTTAACTCTTCGCCTGGACGAGATCTTAACAAAACTAACTCGATCGCCATTGATCGGACGCATTTCAACTGAAAGTCAAGTGGAGAATGCCGGCGCTGGCGCAGACTTCGACTGCGGCGTCCACGTCGGCAGCGAACTGCATTCCCAACCCGAGTCGCGGCTTACTCACAAAATAAATAAAACCGAATGATACAAGCACAACAAAAAACTAAGCCAAACCGAACCGAACTGTGTGCAGAATTTATGGCTTGGGCTGTGGCCGTCCGGAGAAATGCTCTACAAGGCGGCCACTCAATAGATCTCGGGCCTTCCCAATGAATCAATAGCTTTCCCGGAGCCACCAAATGAACTTCGCTTGCGTAAGACAAAAGAAACGGAGGAAACCCGCCTGAATTCAAGATCAATCTATAAGGTCCCAAAGAAAGTGGCGCTCGAATGGGGGGGGACCACCCTATAAGAGTGATGGAAGACAAAAGATTGGAGATCTCGGGTAACAGTTGCTATTGTTAGCATTTGGAAGAGAAAAGAAGAGATCTCTTAGAAGTTATGTTAGTTTGCCCAGTGTTTTTCAAACGGTTTTTCAGTTAGATATATTCCCTTATTGAAAAATTCTAGTAACTTAATTTGATACTGATTATTTTGGGATCTACTGTTTTTCTATCAAAAAAATATTACAAAATCATGGGAAGATATCGCAAGTGATTAAGTCCTGAGTGTGTATTAAACGTCTTCTTTGACATAATTCAACTGGAAAACCAGAATAAATTCTCTCCACGTCATAACTCCCATACTTTGTGTTGATCCTCCATTGACATTATTTATGGAACCTCTTAGGAAACCGAGGAACCCAAAATACCTCCATGTAGCGCACAACAAAGTGTGGAAGAAATGCAACGTTCTGCGTTGCTGCTCATTTTGTGTGGTTGCATGGCTGTGGTGCAGGTGGGGCAGATGGGGCAGGTGGGGCAGATGGAACTGGTGGGCCAGGGGCGAGAGCAACGGGCCAGCAGCACAATCGAGTTTCCACCAATGTGAATTAAATAGTTGGCCAAAAGAGAGGCGACAGAGAGCTCAAATGCCGCTAAAAACGCAACAAATCCCAGACGTTGGCCACAAAGTAATGGAAATATTGAGAATTCCTTAGCCGCGACTTCGACGGGGACTCCATCTCGGTTAGAGTCTGGGTCTGAGTCTTGGATGTGGCATAGCCGTAACTCAAACCGACCATTAGAAACGAACATTAGCAGAAGACGTCTAAGAGCTGAGCTGCAAACGCTGCAAAGGAAAAAGAACTAACGAACCTTGACAATTAAGTTTGCGCCACTCTGCCAAACCCAATTGGAATTCAATGTGCATGCAATGCCCCAAGCAGAAGCAGCCTGGCATTTCGGGGTGGAGGAGGATGAGGATGAAGCTGAGGAGGAGCATCTGTGGCCTCAAATGACGTTGATGATGCTCCCCAGCCTTCCCATCATAACGAAGCCGGAGTCTCCAGGCCCCAAGCTTCAAGCTGCAGACTGGAGTCGCTGTCTGTCGCTTGCTAATTCCCCAACAAATGTTTGCTGTTGCTGTTGGCGGCTTCTGCAACATGTGTTGCAACAAATCGGCAACCGACTGCAGCTGGATAGTCGCGTGATGATGCGCCAAGTGGAGAGGAAAAATCTCGTTAAAGGTCGTGTCACAAATTCTGCAGCACTCGCGAAAAGGGGACAATGCCAAGTGCCAAAAAGCAGCAACAAAAACAGCCACAGGCACAGCAGCAACATTAGTTGCAACAACGGCAGCAACAGCAAATGCAAACTCGTGCCGCAGCTAACACAATAAATTTTCTCTTTCAGCCCGGACGAATCTCGCGGTAAACTGCGTACATGGGTGGCCAAGTGGTGCCCCTCCTCCAGCTCCTTTAACTTCCTCTTGGTCTCCACTAAATGTTAGCAGAAACAATCTGAATAAATTTGTCGCTAACTCTAGACTTTGTCCACGGGAGCGGGTGGGAAATTTATGAACTCGTTGATAGGCAGAGATGGAGATCTTTCGGGGAAGTATTGAGATGGAAGTAGGATGGATTTAATTAAGTAATATTGAGTAAAATTTGATGTATGCTTTTTTATTAATTGAGTGTATAAACGTAATTTTATAAATACTTAAATGCTATGCTTTAAATGCTGTAATTTAAATAGAACATCTTATAAGAACTAACATTTTTCCATTAAATTAAATTTCTCCAAAAAAAAAGCCTTTTTCTTTAAACGAGTAACTATACCGACAATGAGCTTATCTATGGGCTAGCTATTAATAATAATGCCGATCGTAACATACTTTTAATAGCCCACCATTTAATGTAAGCCATTTCGTTTGATTCCAACTTTGATTCAACCCCACCTATTAGTATTATCCTTAATACAGTGCAAATTCCGCCTTAAGTACTTGCCATTAAGCATCATTGCAGTTACTTTGTCTTGGCCATAACTCGGCTCCGAGTACCTCATCGGGGTCTTTAATCTCCCGCGGTCCGGCTGCCATCCTCCAGACTTTCCACGTCCGCAACTTCATGCGTGACCCCGATTCCCACAAGACTGGAATTGTTTCTGGGGGACTGGCGGAGGTGCGGATGGGATCGGGATTGGGATTGGGTTAGGGATATGGATGGGCTGCGATAAGCGATCACGGAATGAGGGATAACTGGTCGGTTAATGAATGGGTTCGCAATAATTGATGCCACTTTAAATTGGCCAAATGTTGATGGCCCCGAGAATGGCTGGCCGAGAACAGCCAGGAAGGGAAAGTTGGCCAAGGGACTGGAGGCTGTCCCATCGAGTGTTGCAGGTGATACTCGGACATGGAGTCAGAGTGATATTTCAACCTTTCTCCCGCTACCCAAAAGCGAAAACATTTTGCGAACGTGATTGGGGATAGGGATGGAGATGGGGGATGGGGATGTGGATGTGGATGTTTGGACATGGCCTTTTAATCAAGCCCCACATTGCGAGGCAAGTGATTTTATGCCTGGCATTTCTGCGCTCACTGACCAATTTAGCCGGCTGAGCACAAAATTTCACCGCAAGATCATCGCACTTGGCACGCAACCCGAAAGCCAGGCCCAAAAATCCCAAGTTGGCACTGGACGCCGCGGCCTGATGTTTATGTATGAGTTCAGTCACATTTTGGGCCAAGCCAAACGGTTAGTTGGATGCTCAAAAAATTTGAAAATGGGATCACTGCTGCGCTGCACTGACTCGCTGACTGGCACTCGCATGCTCCAATTAGTGCAGCGATGGGATGGAATGGGCTGCAATGGGATGGGTTCGCTGTCCGGCTGTCACTCCTGGTTATATCACCGCATGGTGGCCCAAACCCGAATTGGAGTTGAATGCACCCGCCAGCGGGAAAGCGCGAATTCCATTGCCCTCTGACTCCTGGGAAGCTGTGGAAATCGACTGCATCATATGCACCATACGTATCTTCAGACCAGCAGACAACATCACTCATACGTGAATGATTCAATGATTGCATGATCACGAGGCAGATGCACCAGCCCCGGCAGCCACCCACCTGTCCATCTTCATCTTTGTCTTCGCCTGGCCGCTGGGGTGTTGCATGAATTTGCGCAAATCTCTTAAAATTTAATTAAAAACAATTATTTAAAAATAAAATTTAATTAATTGCAATGTTGCATGAGTAGACACCTCGCTGCTGATATTGTAACGGTGGCACTGGCCTCGCCGTATGGGGCATCCACACCTCCAGCTCATGGGTGGCACACTCCCTCCTCCTCCTCCTCCTGCTCCTCTTCCTCCGCCTCCTCCTCCTGCTCAGCCCCCTCCTCCTCCTTCTCAGCCTCCTCCTCCTCCTACTCCACCCCCCAGCTGCATGCGAAATGAAATGCAATGTGCTATATGGCCTATATAGCCAAGTCGGTGTGGCACGGGAATAATTAAGTTATGCTATCTGCTGCCCCGTTTCATAATCAGGGGGAGGGGGTTTCGGACTTGAGATTGGAGGTAATGCAATGAATAATATTCTTCGGATTAGGATTAGTCTTCGTCTTGTTTATTAAGCGGAGAGAATTGAATTATAAAATGCAGAACAAAGAAATATAAAGTAGACAAGATAAATTGATTTTTTATGACATGCAAAGGATTTGAATTCAAATATAGATAACGATGCAGTTTATTTATATAAGCCAAGCTTTTAAAATATAATCCCAAAATTAAACTGCTTACGTATAAGTGGAGATATTCAAATGCAAGTAGTCTTATTTATTTAAAGTAAAGAATCCTTCACTTTACCATCTGCAAGGTCACCTTTTTACAAGTCATCGGAAACTTAAATTAACTAACATGAAAATTGGTCAAAGAAATGGACATCGTTAATATGACAAAATTTTTAAAATTATAAATAGTTTTCAAACTGTGGGACTGGTTTGCGGACGGACTATATACTTCATAGGTTCGGAAATTATAATACCCTTTGCAAGGGTATAAAGACAGCAGGTGTGATAACGAAATTAGTAAACAAAACGCAAGTAACCAAGACAAAATTAAGAGAACCCCATTTATTTTTCCACAAAGTGTATTTTATGGGCTGAAAAAGCAAAGATAAACATCAAAGTGTAGAGCTTGTGATAACAAATCGGAACTGTCAGTGCTAAATTAGATTAAATCGCTTATTTGCATACTTAAGAAGTGGAGTCCAAGCACTAACCACCTGAGGAAAGCTGCCCCCACCCAAAAAGATCTCCGAATGCCTTCATGCTGTCCGAGGCTGGGAATAAAGAAATTAACATGTTGCCACAAAACTGCAGTT